GCTTTGTCTCTCTGTCTCTCTCTTTCTGGCGAGTGCACGTGCCCTATAGCAAAAACCTCTCAAAAAAAAAAAAAAAAAGAGAGAGAGAGAAAAAAGAAAGAAAATCACATCAGGCATGTGCTTAAAATCCTAAGAGGAGAATGGAAGGGAAGAGACTACTGTGTGGCCATACCCCCGGGGATGTTACTCCTTGTCTTTCTTTGTCTCTCTCCAGCAAGTGCATGCACCATATGACAAAAACTTAAAAAAAGAAAAAGAAAAAAATGGTGAGACCAGCAGGTGGTGTGGTGGCTAAGTGCTGGACACCCCTACATGACCAATCATGGTTCAAGTCCCAGACTGGTGGCTTGCTCTCTCTCTCTAGTCAGATTACAAATAAATAACTGAAAAAATAAAGTTAAATAAATAATTCTTTAAAAACGGCAATGGATTTGAACAGGCAATTCTCAAAGGAAGACATACAAATGGCCAAAAAGCATATTAAAAAAAATGTTCAATGTCACTAATCACAAAGAGGGGGACCAGCAGATGGCATAATGGTTACGTCACTGGACTCCCATGTAGTCAACCACAGTTGAGTCCCGGGCCTGATGGTTTAAGCTCACATTGGGCGCACATGCGTGGCCTAAATCCCAAGAGGAGAATGCGGGAGAAGGGATTGCAGCATGGCCATCCTCCCAGGTAGTGATTTCCTGTTGTTAGTCCCTCTCTGTATCTCTGGTGAGTACACATGCCCTATAACAAAAATCTCTCTCAAAAAAAAAAAAAAAAAAAAAAAAAAAGAGAGGTATCACTTCACCCAGTCAAAATGGTTATCAATAACATGAAGAATAACAAGTGCTGCAAAGGCTGTGGAGAAAGGGGAACCCTCAGGCAGTATTGGTGGGAGTGCAAATTAGTACAACCACTGTGGAAACTAGTATGGAGTACCTTCAAAAACTGAAAAATAGAACTAACTTTCAACCCAGTAATTCCACTCTTGGGTACATACTCAAAAGATAGAAATCAATTTGTCAAAGAGATATTTGAATATCCATCCACATTTATTGCAGCATTACCCACAATAGCTAAGCTATGGAATCAATCTAAGCCTTACAAACAATGAATGGAAAAAGGGAAGGTGGGACATGGGAAGCAGTTGTAGCTTGGGTGGAGGGGGGACTCGAATGATCAAAAGCTGGGCACACTCAGATGGCCACACTGTTTTCCACCAGGCTGGGCTTCAGGTACTCGTAAGGCATGGCCAGTTTTGCATTCCGGGCATCGACATCCTTATCCATGGCAGCCAGCTTCTCCCTGAATGTCTTCAGCACTGCCTTGGATGCAGGGTCTGAAAAATATTCCTCCTCATGCTGGCCCAGAGCCACCTGGGTTGGAGAGAAAAAGGCAGGTGAGCCTTCTGATCTCAGCTGGGGTGCTGTCCCTCCCTCTTCAGCTCCTTCCACAGGAACCCAGGCACCTGGCTCTCACCATAATGGGCTGGCGTCTGCCCAGCTGCCAAGTGATGGACATCTGTACAGAAGCCTGATGAACGCTGGGCAATGATGCCATCACTGTCTCCATCGTCACATCCTTGGTGGTCGGGGGGGGAATCCGCATGGTGCAGGGTGCATTAGGGACCCAAGCATACCAATCCAGCTAAGGAGGGGCAGGGATTCAGAGTCAAGGTCTGCTCTGCATGAAAACCCTCAAGTCCAGCTGCACAAGCCTCCAGGCCAAAAATTCCCAGTTCCCCCTCTGGTGAGTACCTGACCCAGGTGGTTTGAGGAGTGTTGACCAGTGCAGGTGAAGATGCACATGGTGGCAAACTTGCAAAGCTGATCCAGAGACTGCAAAGACTTGGGAAACCCTGTAAACAGTGAGGAGTTAGAACCTGGAGGCCAGGAGCAGAAGCTGAGCTCAGAGACAAGGCACAGAGAGAACAAGAAGGGTGAGAAGGGGCACCAGGGACACTCAGTCACTCTGGGAATTATATGAGAACCAGGTGGAGTGGGAGAAAGGGGACCTCTGCTGGAAGGATCCCACTCAGAGGGATGCTGGTGTAAGCTCACTCTGGCTCATGACAGTCAATAATGTCAACTTTTCAGATGTTTGACATCAGGTTGTCAGCCATGGTAGAAATATTTACACCATGAAAATGGGCAAATACAGGTTTTATTTCCTTATTTATTTCTAAATAGCTGGTTGTTAAATATTTATGAGCAATCATACTATTTCTGGGACATGGAGAGCTCTCAAGTTACAGAATGGGGACATGACTTCGCTGACAGAATACAGAATCTGGGAAGGCTTTATGCAGATTTCACAGGGATTGGAAATGCTTCTATTCTATAGAAACAGAAAGGATTCTGGAGAAGTCTCCTGTGTTTCATGTCTGAGATCTCAGAGCAAGGGCTCATCTTACCTCGATCCTCTGCCCCTAGCAGCCCAACTTCAGTGATTTCTCGACACCAGGACTGCAGCTCAAGGTCACTTTTCACAGTCTCATCCGACTTATAGTGGATTTTCACAATTCCCTCCACATACCTACCGGCCAAAGAGTCAGGGAGATGGGGCTGAAACCAACAGGGAACATCCAAGCCCTCCTCTTCCCCATGGCCAGGCCAGAGCCCCAGACCCAGCCCAACCAGAGAGATCCTGTTCTCCTCGCCCCCAGCAGCCCTGCCTGCGGCTTGCCTCACCCATAGAGAATCTCCCAGAGCCGCAGAGCATCTTGACCATAGTAGGAAGACTGGACTCCCAGGAGGCCCCGGTCAGCCAAGTCATCAGGAGGACAGAGCGAGCGATACGTAAGAACGCCCTTAGCTCTCTTGAGGAACTCCACGTGGCCTCCCCCACCTGTGCTCACCACCTAGGACCACGGACAGGCAGGGTCAGGCAAATCCAGCTGCCCTGAGGCCAGAGCCAGAGGGTGAGCCCTGAATTCCCCTCCCTAGTCCCATACCTGGTCGAAAACTCCATAGTCAGAGACGAGCCCATTCCTGGCCCGGACGTTAATTTCCATGGTGTATCGCAGGTGGGGAACTATAAGCTAGAGGGAGGAAAGCAGGGAGGGGCAAAGTCAGGACAGGGCCATGGCAGGTCAGCGCAGGGACTAGGGGGTGACAGGCAGGTACCAGGTCTTTGGGGAAAGCACAGGGTTGAGTTCAGTGGCCCCTCGACACCAAGAGCTTCATTTGACTTGCACTGCCTGATCATTCCACACCATAGACTGAGTGCTTTATGGTAATTCTCAGAAATCATTCTCCTTTCTTTTCATATTATTCTCATGAGTCTAGGATGTTTCTCAAAGCTTTTTAACTGCATCTCTCTAAGGTGCCTCTTTTGACGTTTTTTCCTAGTTTCAACTTGTCCTCCCCTCCCTTGAAAGTTTAATGCTGCACATGAACTGTGTATTTGTTCAAGTACTTTGCTTTATCAATGCTTTATACATGAAAATGATATGAGGTTTTATTTTCACCCCCTAGAGGGGCATAATTGCCTCATTAAGATGCATCATCTAACCCCTGCCTCCCTCCAGAACCTCAGCTCCTCCCTCTCCCTTCCTCCATTACACTCACCTCCTTCCTCCTCTTCAGACAAGCCCCGCCCACTGCCGTGTCAAGGTCTTTGCACTAGCTGTCCTCTCTGCCTGCATCCCTGCACCCTCCTGATCATTTCACAGCTGGCTCCTCCTCAAGTCTCCTTCTCGATGTCCTCTCCTCAAGGGAGTCTTTCCTGACCACCCGGACTAAACCACCACATCTCCCTACTTTGACTCTGCATGGTACTTAGCATAGGTGATACGTTACAGTGCAAGTTTTATCGTCTGTTTGCCCTTACTAGAAATGAAACTCCCCAAAGATCAGGACATTGCCTGATCTCGATGTTATCACTAGCATCCAGAATGATCCTCGCTACATGAGAAGTACCCAGTAAATATTTTCAGTCAGTGAATAGTTTGCCCTAATTATCTATACTTAGGCTACTGTTGTTTGCCTGAGCCCCTCTTTTTTTAAAAAAAGAATTATTTATTTAAGTTTTTTTATTTATTCATTTTTTTTTTATTTGACCAGAGAAGCAAGCCACCAGGTCTAGGACTTGAACCATGGTTGGCCATGTGGGAGTGTCCAACACCTTAACCACCATGTCATCTGCTGGACCCCCTCTTTTTTTTTTTAAGAATTATTTAATTTAATTAATTAATTATCATTCTTCGACTTGACCAGAGAGAGACAGAGTGAGAGAAAGGGAGAGTGAGAAGGCAAGCCACCAGGTCTGGGATTCCAACCATGATTGGTCATGTGGAAGTCCAGCACCTTAACCACCATGCCACCCACCAGCCCCATTCTGAGCCCTTCTTAATGGCTTTTGTTTGTCCTTAAGAAATCTTTTTTAAAATTATTTTATTTAACTTTATTTATTTTATTTGCTTATTTATATATGTATTTTAATTTGACCAGAGAGGGACAGAGTATGAGAGAGAGAAAGTAAGAAAGCAAGCTGTCAGATCTGGGACTCAAACCACAGTCAGCCCCATGGGAGTCCAGCACCTTTAACCACCATGCTACCGGCCGGGCCTCCTTAAGAAATCTTCAAGATGAATAGGAAAAAAAAATTATGTTATTTACATCATCCCCTCTAATTGGATGAATTCTGCAGTCATTTGCATGCAGTGTTTACATACTGTCTGAATATCTGTGCTTTCTACATAATGAGAGTAGACTTGTTTTCCCCTTTCTAGGAGGTTCCTTTTTCCCCCCTTAGCAGCTGATTTCACCCATTGAATATGCATGGAAAGCCACGCTCACACTCCCGCTCTCTCTTGTCTTCCATTGGCCATTCTCCCCACACTCTGAGATTCCACAGAGGTGGGAATGTGCCACAGAGCATGGAGACAGACAGGTGGGAAAAGAAGGCATTACCTTGAAGATAGGATGTACTGAGGGAAGGCACCTCATGGTGGCCACGGCAATGACCTCAGCCATCAAGTGTCCCCTCAGAAGATGATACTGCAG